AGGCCTGGGCACTGGCACCCATTTACAAGTTTTGTTGAGGGCCAGCAGGTGGTGTGGTGGTTAAGGCAGCTGGATCCTACGTGGCCAAGTGTGCAGTTTGGAGACTGGACCTGGAGGCTGGAAAAACACGCAGGGCACGTTTGTCTGCATGCCCCAGATCCCGAGAGGAGAATGGAGAAGAGATTGTAGCATGGCCATCCCGCCAGGGAGTGATTTCTCACTTTCCCTCTCTCTCCAGCAAGTGCATAAGCCCTATAGCGAAAAAAATAAAAAAATAAAAAAGATAAAAGTTTTCTTGAAACCACAGAGTTAAAGGCTTAAATGAAAATTCTGATCTGTCACCTTTCTGGGTGACTTCAGGCAAGTCACCGAGCCACTATGAATTTTGGTTTCCTCTATAAAATGGAGAGAAGGATTGCTTCAGCCAGCCGGGGGCATGACGGTTAAGGCAGCTGGATCCCATGTGGCTGACTGCATAGTTAGTGGCAAACCTGGTGGCTTGAAAAACACACCAAACATATGTGTGTGGATGTCCAAAGTCCCAACAGGAGAGAAGAAATGGAAAAGGGATTGCAGCATGACCAACCCCCATGGGGGGTGCTTTCTCACTTCATCTGCCTCCCTCCAGTGAGCTCACGTGCCCTGTAGCCAATTAAAAAAGAAGGCTGCTTCACAGGACTTTTTTTCAGGACGAAAGACATTACAGTCCACAAAAATAGCACACGAATGCCCCACCCCGCCTGGCACAGACAGAAGGCCCTTGGTAAACACAGAATGGAGGAAGTCCACACGAGGGATGATGATAATACATGTGACTGTGACTGCAAAGCGAGAAAACCAGCCAACAGTACAGAGGTCAGGTGAAGGGGTGCCTCTCTGTTTTTTGTGTTTTTTTTTTTTTTTTTTTTTTTTTGAGAGGTTTTTGCTATAGGGCGCGTGCACTCACCAGAGAGAGACAGAGAGACAGAAAGCGAGAAATCACCCCCCAGGGGGGATGGCCATGCCGTAATCCCTTCTCCTCTATTCTCCTTTCGGGATCTTGGGCACGCACACACACACGCCCAGCATGAGTTTTAAGCCACCGGGTCCCGGACACGAACCGCTGTCGACTACATGGGAGTCCAGCAACATAGCCATTACGCTAACTGCAGGTCCCCCTCTCTGGGTTTTTCAGTCTTGCGCCTCAGCAGAGCTGGTACGGGGACCGCACCATGGCCATGATGCCATACGCTCCCTCTTCCCTGGAACCATTGCTCCAACAGGTAAGGGAGCAAAATGCCAGAGTCTCTGAGGCATGACCATGTGGCCAGTTTCATGTGTTCAACCTGTGACTATGGAAGTGTTGCCAAGATTCCAGCCTCCCACCGAGCAGAATGCGCGTTCCATCGGTTATGTGTAAGTGGGCTGGGCACACCAGGAAATCAAGAAAATACCCAAGTTCACATGATGGTGCATTGCCACTGAGCTTTCCTTTTTGTTTTTCTGGAGGGGCTAAAGACAACAGCTGAGCCATATACCCACGACTAGGACAGCCGAGCCAAGGAACCGGGTGTGCCTAAGCAATTAACATTTAGCTGAGAGGAAAGCAGACAGCAGACGCTGGTGGCTGAAACCTTGACAGCCAGGCCTGACCCTTCATCACGTCAGTGTTCTAGCTGCAACTAAGGGAGGGGTAAGGCTGCATAGACCACCTATAATGGAGGTGAACACCCCACCCAGAAGCAGGAGTAGGCTGACGGTAACGGTACTACTGAGGACAGCCCCTGTGTACTGTGTGCCAGATATCACTCCAACCCTCACTCTAGGTGCTCTTTCACTCTCTGTAGGAAGCCGGTGGTAGTATTCAGTTACTGAAGAAGAAAGTGAGGCCCAGAGGTTAAGGACCTTGCCCGAGGGACACAGTTAGTAACTTCCGCTTCGCTTCAAGTAAGTCGTATACTATGGAATAGTTCCAGGAGGAGGCATTAGGCTGAGTTCCTAGGGAGGAGGAGCAGCAGAGGCAGTGGGGATCTGGGGAGTGAAAGAAATGAGGCTGCAAGAGACCAGCCTAAGTCACCCCAGGAAGGAACTCCTGGCTCCTGGTCCAGAATGCTCCTGAAAGAAGCTGAAGACCCTCCCTCTGGATCTGGAGGGTAGGGGGCACCTATCTCCCCTCTGGGTTCTGAGACTCAGAGATAGCATATATAAACAGAGAGTCAGCCACCTTTTGGTGTTTGGTCACATCAGCCTCCCTGCTTTTTGAATTTTTTTTGAGAGAAATTTTTGCTATAGGGCATGTGTGCTCACCAGAGAGACAGAAAGCAAGAAATCACCCTCCAGGGAGGATGGCCCCACTGCAATCCTGTCTCCTCCATTCTCCTCTCGGGATTTTGGGCACCCATGCACACGTATCCGGAATGAGTTTCAAGCCGCCAGGTCCAGGACTCGAACTGTAGTCGATCACGTGGGAGTCCAGCGACGTAACCATTATGCCATCTGCTGGTCCAAGCCTCCCTGTATTTTATAAATAGGAAAATCAATGCTTTGAATTTTATTACCTTTTCTCCCCAGACAGCGCTGGATTCCTATGAACTTTCTCCCATACATCGGCTTAGAATTGTAGGAATACCACCACGCAGTGCAACGTGAGCAGGCTAAAAGAAAGCCACCCCAAACTTTGTTTTTACGCCTTTGCACGTAGTTATAGAAATCTCAGTGAGCAGGAGTATTATATCTGGTGGTTAGAACAGTCTTCCCTACATCCCTGTGTATCTTACCCTTTGGGCTTGAACCACAAGATTTGCACCAGATGCTTCCCAGGCTGCTTCCTTCCTACTGGTCAGATTAAGCCTGCCTTGCTCTTCCAGTTCCAGACTCTACACTAACGGGTACAACGGAATACGGTGAAATGATCACCGGTAGGTCTCAATCTCTCCTGAGAAACCAGGAGCAGAAATCTCAGTCTGAGGAGTTCACCTTCTTTGCACAAGCTAGTAGGTGTGGGAGATGGGAGAGCTGCAAGCCCAGGATTCAATAAAGGAAAAGCACAATCTTGCTCTCTGAAAGGCTTTTTAGCTTTCAAGTTAATGCATGTTTTTAATCCTTGCAACCTTTGTCAACTTCTTCCAACATCAACAGCAGCCACGAGGTACAGTAATGCCCTTTAGAAGTCAAACCACATAGAAATGGCGACTGATTCCCTGGTCTGCCTCCTGAAACGAGGGGAGGCTGCTCTGAGTTCGTGCTGTAATGATGACAGCACGATCGCAGGAACAATGAAGCAGAGAAGCAGAAGGTGCCTACACAGTTTTACCTAAACGTCTTGTTTGTTAGGATGGAGCTGGCGCGCCCGTACTGACAGTCAGGAACAATTAGCGCGGAGCAGTTCTGAAAAGGAGGAAGAATTCACAAGGCATCAGTTATGGGTAAAGGGAAGTCACCATCTGCCAACGGGCACCAGAGTGTCACTTCATTGGAAGGGGGAAAGAAGTGGGTTGGATGAGATCCAGGAGCCTTTCTGCCCACGTGGAAACTGAGTAGCTTCTCTGCCTGCCGGCATCACGGTGTCAACACATTCTGTGTGTGTCTGGCTCAGTCTCACACCCGAGGAAGCAGAAACAAGTGATGCAGGAACCAAGGGGAGAGTGAACTGCTCAGGCTCATTCTCCTGGAGCAGGGGAGCACACAGACCTTCTAAACTCAGCTCTACTTGTCCAGGTGCCTACACAGTTTTACCTAAACGTCTTGTTTGTTAGGATGGAGCTGGCGCGCCCGTACTGACAGTCAGGAACAATTAGCGCGGAGCAGTTCTGAAAAGGAGGAAGAATTCACAAGGCATCAGTTATGGGTAAAGGGAAGTCACCATCTGCCAACGGGCACCAGAGTGTCACTTCATTGGAAGGGGGAAAGAAGTGGGTTGGATGAGATCCAGGAGCCTTTCTGCCCACGTGGAAACTGAGTAGCTTCTCTGCCTGCCGGCATCACGGTGTCAACACATTCTGTGTGTGTCTGGCTCAGTCTCACACCCGAGGAAGCAGAAACAAGTGATGCAGGAACCAAGGGGAGAGTGAACTGCTCAGGCTCATTCTCCTGGAGCAGGGGAGCACACAGACCTTCTAAACTCAGCTCTACTTGTCCTGGAGGCCTCCATAACCTCCCTCCCCCCTCAAAGGGATGGACCCTCTTTTCCCCCCATAGACTGCTCTGGCCTCAGAGTTGCTATCTGGGAAGGGAAAGCAGTAGGGGCAGAAGATGAAGGGACAAGGGCGGCACCTTTGGGCTGGGAGGAGCTTCCCAGTTAGAAACCACATGTAATAAGCATCAGAGAGCCGGGAGAGTACAGTCCTAAGTGCAGGTGTGTCCCGTAAGTCTGCATTATTAGCAGGCTTCCAGAAGCTGCCAGAATGAAGTCATCTCATGAACGTATCTACCAGCAGCTGATTCCTGGCCATGTTTGTTTCTCTAAGGTTTAGAATCTGAAATTAAATCCTTTATTTCAAACACAAAACCGAAATAATTTGCCAGGCTAAGAAAAGGTCTGAATAAAAGATGGAAGCTTCCTAGTTACCAGTCCCTTCCTACATAAATAGGATTGGGTGGAGGGAGAAGGTGGGATTGACAGCAAGGAAAACTCCACCGCCGTGACTGCCGAGGGTGAAGCGACACCCCCTGCAGATGCGATTTACAATCTTTACTTAGTCACACAACATCGAGAATTGGTCAGTTACAGGGAAGTGCTCCATTTCATCACCTGGGTCAGTTCTCATCCCCCACATGCTCCATGATGCAGGAGAACCAAGTAACGGGTTCCTCTACACAGAATATTTAAATAATACCTGTCCAACAATTGCCCTTGCTTCTCTGTGCTGTTGGGAGATGAAAAAAAGAAAAACCAAGAAGGTAATCAAACGAAAACCCTGGCAGGCCAGCTGATGCCTATCCTCCCAGAGCGTTCTGAGTGGGGTTTCTGCTGGGCCTGCCTCTACCCCAGCACATCTGTGAGCAAAGAGTCTGGGGGAGAGGTTTGGCCATCTGCAAGGCAGTAGAAAGAGAACCAAACATAATTCGGGCCACGGTGGAGTGTGGCACATTTTTAGGTTGGGTTAAAAATGTCAGTGTGCACAGGAAGCAGGCAAAGGAGTTTGTGAGGGAAGAAATGCCTGTGGGCGGCATAAACAGTCCAGTCTACTACTGGGGAGGAGCTCCCTGTGGTGAGGACGGAGGAGCTAGGGGGCCTCGAGGAAGGTGTTGGTTCGGAAGATGGAGGAGACGATCTTCCCGGTGGCGTTGATGGTACCTTCGCTGTCTGAGCTGGACTCCGAGTCGCTGCTCCCAGAGTAGGCACCCAGGCCAGGGAGGATCCCGATGCACACTGCAGCAGAGGGGCAGTGGATAGAGGGGCCACTCAGGGAAGTGCTTCCAAGAGACACGCGGGATGGTGCCTCTGCAAAAAATGAGAGGAAGGCCTGTTACTTCATCAGCCTTTTCCAAAGTTCGGGACATACCTAACAGGTGCCAGGTACCATGCCAAGGGCTGTACCCACAGATGTCTCAAACAATCCTGAGCAGTCAATATTGTCGTCCTCAGTCTATAGACGGGGAAACTGAAGGAGGAAGCGAGGCTCTAGGAGGGGGACAAGACTTCTCAAGGTAAAAGGACAAAGGTGGAACTTGAGCCAAGGTCTCTTTAACATCAGAACCTGACTATACTCTCTTGTTCCCCATTGGCTCTGAGTCGAACAGACTACTATGGAGTACAACTTATCCCAGATTCATTTCCCTGTCCTCACACGGTCCTGGTGTGCAGCATTGGGGCTCACGACTGGTATCACTCCTTATTCACTTTCAGGGCAGGAAACAGCCAAGGGGAAATAAATGGCTTCCATATGCTCTAGACAGTAGGGATGAGCCGGATGAAGAGAGCCACTGGGAGCAGTTATTTACATTGCTACGCAATTCTCAGTGTATCGTACCAGTACCTATGTACTGACCCATATGCCACCCAGCATGGATACACGTTCAAGGCCAAGCATCAGCTGCAGAATCATGCTCTTTACTAAGGGCCACTTTTCCCTAACGGAGGAGATGAGCAATTTAGAAATGTATCTAACGAACAGCCTTTGCTTTCCAGTTGTGTTCCTCTTTGACAGTGGAGAAAACTGAAGTCAGTCAGGACATACTTTAAAACCATTCAGAGGGACGAGCAGTTAGCATAAATGGCTATGTCGCTGGGCTCCCATGTAGCCGACCGCGGTTCGAGCCCTGGACCTGGTGGCTTAAACTCACACTGGGCGCGTGTGCGTGCATGCCCAAGATCCTGAGAGGAGAATGGAGGAGAAGGAATTGTGGCGTGGCCATCCCCCCTGGGGGGTGATTTCTCACTTTCTGTCTCTCTGTCTCTCTCTGTCTTTCTGGTGAATGCACGTGTCCTATAGCAAAACCTCTAGAAAAAACAAACAAACAACAAAAAAAAACCCATGCAGAATGTCACCAAGAAGCCAGGGCACTTTTCTTCTCAATAAACTTTCAGTGACTCTGCCACCCAGAGACAGAAAGTCTCCATCTCAAACATGTGGGACTTGAGGGGTAAAGGAAAAATGGAGAACTCCCCTCTACCCGTTTTCCCCTCTAAATGTTTCCAGCCTCATTTAATCATGAGGACAACCTGATGTGTAGGTATTATCCACACTTTGCTGATGAGGAAAGTCTAATGACTTGCAAGGTTATGGGCTACTTAGAGCGGGAAACTTTAAATCTGAATCTGAATCAATGGTAAAGCAGGATGCTCTGCATGGCTGACCCAGATGGGAAAGTTTCAGGGTTGCACCTGAAGCCCTCCCTGAGTATGCTGGGCACACGTATGCCCACAATCCTTGGCTGACTGAAGGTGGAGGTGGATGAGGTGGTCTGCAGCATCAAGACCCTCATGGGGACGTGTCTCTATCTCTGCCTTTCTCTGTCTCTCTTGTTCATGAAAAGGTATAAACAAACTGGGGAAAAAAAAGAAAGATAATGTACTGAGTTTATGAGGGAGTAAGGGTTGAAGCTGAGACTTCATGGTCTCAGGCTGACAAGCACACTGGGGCGGTCTTTGAAAAGTTTGTGGAAAATGTATATTATGGAAAGGCGATGGGACTAGAAGTTAGCATAATGGCTATGTCACTGGACTCCCACGTAGTCGACCGTGGTTTGAGTCCCGGACCCAGTGGCTTAAACTCACGCCGGGCGCGTGTGCCTGCGTGCCCAAGATCCCGAGAGGAGAATGGAGGAGAAGGGATTGCGGCGTGGCCATCCCCCCTGGGGGGTGATTTCTCGCTTTCTGTCTCTCTGTCTCTCTCTGTCTGTCTGGCGAGCACATGCGCCCTATAGCAAAAACCTCTCCAAAAAAAAAAAAAAAGGTGATGCATGGATTTGATATACATATATTTTTAATTTTGCTAGAGTGTATGTGCACTCAGTAGGGGAAGAGAGAGAGAGAGAATCATCCCCCTGGGGCCAGCAGGTGGCGTGGTGGTTAAGGATGCTGGATCCCCATGTGGCCAACAGTGGTTCCAGTCCTGGATCTGGCAGCTTGTTTTCTTACTTTTCTAATTCACTCTCTCTCTCTTGCTCACTCAGACCCTCTCTGGTCAAATTTTAAAAATAAATTAATAAATGAATAAAGTGAAATAAAAATAATTCCTTAAAAGAGAGAGAGAGAGAAATCATCCCCCCCCCCCAAACAGGGCATAATCATGCTGCAATCCCTTCTCCACGTCCCCCTCTTTTCAGGATTTTGGGTATGCACACACATGCAGTTGGTGTCTGGGACTTGAACCACACAGCTGGCAATGCGGGATCCAGCTGCCTTAACTACCATCCCACCAAATCAATCGGATTTCAAAACTTTTTTGCACAGAGATGAACTCATATTTCATTCCATTTTCCACAAATCTTTTGAAGTAGTATGGAAACGACACACGACAACGCATACACATGGGCACTCCAAGTACATGAAGCCAAGAGTACACAGAGAGACCAGAGATACCAAACAGTACAGCCCTCAGGAGCTCAGTGCTTGCTCGTCTCTGCAGGAAATGCTAACAAGGGAAAAGCAGCTCTAAAAATAAGCAATGTTGAACATGCAGAAGTAGAAAAGTCAGATGAGAGCTAACGGTGATTGCAGAGATGGCAAGAACAAGGCCACAGATAGCAGAGGCAGATCTGTGCTAATTTCTTTAACATACAGGGTTTTTCCAGATAGGTTAAAAAACAACCAGCTAGGAACCAGCAGTTAGCGTAATGGCTATGTCGCTGGACTCCCACGTAGTCGACCGCGGTTCGCGTCCCGGACCCGGTGGCTTAAAACTCATGCCGGGCGCGTGTGCATGTGTGCCCAAGATCCTGAGAGGAGAATGGAGGAGAAGGGATTGCGGTGTGACCATCCCCCCTGGGGAGTGATTTCTCGCTTTCTGTCTCTATGTCTCTCTCTCTGTGTCTGTCTGGCGAGCGCACGCGCCCTATAGCGAAAACCTCTCCAAAAAAACCCAAAAACACACACAAAAAAACAACCAGCTGACCAGGAAAGCGGACAGACAACGTGAACAGTACACAGAAAGCCAGATGAATTTTGAACACAGGACAATAAACAATATTCTAAGAGGGAATGTGTGGGGAACAGTCAATTTCATAAGTCATTGAAAGGACACAGGGACATTCAGCAATGTCCTTCAAACTTAAATGATGTTCAAAAGAGAACATTTGTGGGACCAGCAGATGACATAATGGTTACAACACTGGACTCTATAGTAGTCGACAGTAGTTATAGTCTCGACTCAGTGGCTTAAAATTCCCACCGGATGCGTGTACATGTGTGACCAAAATCCCGAGAGGAAAATGGGAGAGGAGACTGTGGCATGACCATCTCCCTTGGGAGTGATTTCTCACTTTCTGGCTCTCTCTCTCTCTAGTGAGCGTATGCACCCTATAGCAAAAATCTCTGTAAAAACAAAAAGAGAGAGAGCATTTGCTGCAGCATTGTTTATAGTCAGAGAAGGCTGGAGACGGCCAGAATGTCCACTCACAGGTGGCCACTCAAAGTAATGGACTACAGTTCGGCCTTAGCATAAAGCAACTCTATGTACCGGTATTAAGTGACTTCCAAGACACTCTGCTAAATGAAAGGCAAGGGGCAGGAAGCACGTTTCAATTTGTGGGGGAAACATGCCCATGTATATGCATGACAATGTCTGAAAAAGTACGTAAAAGACTGATAGCAGTGGTCGCTCTCGGGGGAAGGAATCTGGTGGCTGGGCTACGGAGTGATTTCCTCTTCACTCCATACTCTTTTTCTGCCTTTCAAATTTTTCAAGTGCATATATTACCAATTCATAGAGTTAAAAATAAACAAGGCAAATGTGAAAATTCAGAGGGCTTCCTGGGACACTCGCAGTAGGGAGGGAAGTCCCACATGATCTCTATAACCCCAGCTAAGAGAGCTGGAGACTGGACAGTCCTACGGATGGGAGGGGTTGCCTGTGTGTGTTCCCCACTAACTGTTAGCCCCTCCAGGCAAGAGGGGCTCTTCACCATCTCTCTCTTCACCATCCCTCCTCAGGACACGCAGCACGCAGTCTGGCGCAGGGTGGCCCAGTACCCACAATGTGTGAAAATGCAGAAAAGTGTGTTAAAGACATCTTACAAAAAGTTGCAAGACAAATGGCTAATTTGAGAGGTGGGGTGTGTATGAAAATTTGATGCTTTTTTAAAATTTGGAGCAGAACATTAAACTATGTCAATCATTACTTGAACATTCATTGTATTACTATGCATCACATGCAGAATGAGGCTTTCAGTACTGCCACAAAAATGTGATCTTAAAAAAAAAAAAAAAAACCTTATAAGGGCATATGGATCAGTTACTTAGAAAATTAATTTAAGGGGCCAGCAGGTGGCATAGCTGTTAATGTGCCATTAACCATGTGGCCGACCATGGTTCAAGTCCCGGACCTGGTGGCTTGAAATGCTGTGCACATGTGCGTGTGTGCTCAAAATCCCAAGATCAGAATGGAGGAGGAAGGACTGCAGAGTGGCCACCCTGATCCCAGGGGGTGATTTCTCACTTTTTCTCTGTCTCTGTCTCTCCAGCGAGCACACGTACCCTATAGCAAAAATCTCTCCAGGGAGGATAGAAGCCAGCTACAGAAATGCAACTGAGGAATCAGGACCAGTGTATCTTCGGAAGAGTTTACACGAAAAGAACAAATCTCCCAATTATCTAGGTTTCAAGAAAGAAAAGAGATTGCAACTCTGACAAATTTTGTTCCAAAAGCAGTTAACTATCCAAAGAGAACAAAATGGTGCCCTCTGATCTCACCCATTTGGTGAAGTTTCCTGCCAACTTCTGCATTTGCAGGATCACATTGTCATACCAAATGAACATGGAAAATTACTGATAGACAATGT